CCAGCCCCGCCCCCCCCTCCCGTTCTGAGATCACATGTGTGTCCGGTATTTTTTTGAAACCTATCTGGTAACCCTTCTCATGGGCTGGCACAACAGCAAGCCGAAACATTCTAGACATGCAACTTGGGGTGGGGCGGGGGGGTTAATAATAGAAGTCACCAAAGTGTGTGTTATTTGGTCAATGTTAATAGGAGGTAGTTGCCAATCTGAGGGTCACTGAAAAACAGCAGGCAAGCAGACTTCGGCTTATGCCATCTCCTGGGACTCAAATGCCACTGTTGGGCCTTCCAAAATCAGACCAAACCAGACAGCATTATCCCCTCCACCAGCTTTGACCACCTAGGTTATAAATTTTCCCCAACATGCATCTCCTCTTTCCTTGCTTTCTCTTCCTGGTTTTACCTATTAACTGTGTGCTTAGCTGACAAGACTTCAGACTTTGCAACACTCTGCTGAGAGCCAGCGAGCAGAGAGCTAAGCTAGAAGCAATGCCTTAAAACAACCAAACATTAAGGCTGTGTCTACACTGGCCGCTTGAATTTCCGGAAAAGCACTGACGATCTAATGTAAAATCATCAGTGCTTTTCCGGAAAAACTATGCTGCTCCCATTCGGGCAAAAGTCTTTTTCCGAAAGACTTTTGCCCGAAAGGGCCAGTGTAAACAGCACAGTACTGTTTTCCGCAAAAAAGCCCCGATCGCGAAAATGGCGATCGGGGCTTTTTTGCGGAAAACCACGTCTAGATTGGCCACGGACACTTTTCCGCAAAAAGTGCTTTTGTGGAAAAGCATCCTGCTAATCTAGACGCGCTTTTCCGAAAATGCTTTTAACGGAAAACTTTTCCATTAAAAGCATTTTTGGAAATTCATGCCAGTGTAGACGTAGCCTAGAAGTTTGGCAGGTCTCAGGAATAGCAACCCAGGCTACATGTAGTGTCTGCAATTTCTCAGCACCTACGGTGCAAGCAGCAGAGACAAAAGTTATTTTTCTCCTTCCTTCCTACAGCTCAAAATCATCTAACTCTTCCTCTCAAAAAGGGCCACTAATACCCCATCCATCTTCAATGCCACCGGAAAAGATTTTGAAACAGAGCTCTTCCTCTAAAAAGACTCTCTGCAGCTTAAGAGGGGGAATAAAGGATAGTGTTAGAATTAAACCCTTACTTAATTATTTACATTCAAATGCTTTAATAGTTTATTCTACAACTGTTACCCAATCGTGTTAATCCCCCACTTGAATAAGCAACTAATTCAGAGAACTTTTGTGGCTGTTGGACATTCACTGATGCAAGACAAGAGGCATGAAGGACCATTAACAGACCTCTACTTAGAGCTCTGCATGTTTATAATTCATCTGCACAAACATTTTATTAGATTATTTGCAGCGTATTACAACTTACTCCTTTTGCAGAGGAATGAAGACTTCTCATAGCAGTTTTCAGCATACCAACTGTGTAAACCATGGTGCCGTAGGGTGGGTAAATGGAAACACTGAAGCTGGGCACAAAGAATGTTCTCATTTTCAGACATGCCCGTACCAAAAATAGGGTCAGGGGGCAAGAATACTTCTGAGGAACCTAGGGTGAGAGTTTATTATTAGTGTGAGCAACTTTCAGGTCTTTGAAGCTTTAGAAAAGCTCATCAGTGTGTCATTTACTCCATGCACAGCCAACTTCTAGTACAAGGCTTCTGTCCTCTAATTTTAGCAATGCTCCTTGAGGTGGAAAAGCATTGGGGGTAAAACAGGAAGACAAATTGCTGTCTCCCAAGATAAAGGTGTTTGTGAAGAGGAAAGGCTGCTGTAAAGCCATGCTGTTTAAGACGCCAAAATGTCATTTTATATTCCCTTGTAATTTTTAGGGTATGTCTAGCTACATGCCTCTGCCGACAGAGGCATGTAAATTAGACATACCGACATAGTCAATGAAGCGGGGATTTAAATATTTCACGAGGCATAAGGGATCGGTCGACAAAGGCTTTCTTTGTTGACCAATCCCCGTCTTGACTGCCGATTTGTGCCGACAAAAAGCTGAGCTGGCACAACATGGCGGTCATTTTTATTCTAATGAAGCGGGGGATATTTAAATCCCTGCTTCATTGACTATTTCAGGTAGTCTAATTTACATGCCTCTGTCGCCAGAGGCATGTAGTCTAGACATACCCTTATTCTGAACATGGACAGAACCTGATTCCACTTCAGCTGCTTTGCTCCAGTCCACCCTGCAATGCTGGCTGGGTGAGCTGAGCATGGAGGAATCCTAAGTGAGAGATTTGACAGCTCTTAATCCACCCTTTCCAATGCCCAGAACAATGTAGCTAGGGAAATGGCACTATTGTGGTTTCTTGGCCATGTTTAAGTTGATCCCTCTGTGCTGTAAATGCCCCCCTGGAGTCATTAACCAGCATCTTTATTTCTCCCACCCTCAACAACTCAGCCAGGCCTGAGGCTCTAACCCTATGTTTTTCATGCTAATGTTTACACAAGGTAATCTCATTTTCCCACGTGTGTGTACAGTTTGGGGCATGAGAAGCAGTTGTGGATTAGTGAATTGAGCACAATGCATGGAGTCAGCATTCCTGACACACTTCCTCATGCACATAATTCAAGGCCTTTGCCTCAGCTATCCTACCTTTAAAATGGGGAGTACACTTACATATCTATACTAATCCCTTTTGACAACCATGACAAAAATGATAGAAGAACAAGCAGTTTAATAATAAACTAATATAAATCAACTTTGTTACATTCAGATAAAACAGATTTGCTACCAGCAACACAAAACCACTAGTCGTCTTCACTGTAGAGAATCAGTACTATTGAAATATAATACACACAGATTACATGTGATTCATGACACAATCCAAATAATGTAAAGTGCTCCATGCTGGCAACATCCCTAATTTAGAAATGTTAATGCCAAGCAAGAGTGATACATATAGCAGAGCTGGAGATTAGATACCAAACGTGTGTTTTGTAATAGGGTTGACAATTTCAAACACAGGTGCTTGACAGCCAAGTATAAGTGGTAAGATATTCAAAGTTGAGGGGCACTTGGATTTTCCACTGTCTTCAAGGGACAGCAGCTATGGGGAAAAAATTAAACCAGTGCATATGGATTTAGGAGTCCAACATTGGGTTCTCAGGCTTGAAAGTGTTGCTCTTGATACTCCGATTCCTGGACATCATATGGTTAACATGCTAAAATGGTCCTCTGAAACAGTCTGCTGAAGTATTGTTTGACTTACGAAAAAAACCTAGTCTCTCTACTGCTTTCCTAAAAGTCGTCCATCCAACAGACTATACAGAATTCTCATGGAGCAAAATGTTCAATAGTAGCTAAGTGATCACTTTTGAAAATGGGACTGAGGCACTTCTGCAACTTTTCACCATAGTCTACTTTTAATAGACTCTCAAAGGTTCTATGGAATCAAGAAAACATGAATTTATGCCATCTTCTGATAAACGAGAAGTCATAATTCTAACACTGGCTGTTAAATGGTACACATTAAGAAAAAGAAAGTTATAACTGCTCTAAATAGTTCCATCAGTAGATGGAGTGCAGTCAACTTCCTAAAAAAGAGCAATGACTTTTTCCTTCAGGAGAAATAGAGATCTGTATTTTTCCTGTTTTATGGATTAACTGATAATTTATGATATTTTTGTTCATCAAGGTTCATGAATTTAATATAAAAAAGTTTGAAATCCCCCTCCCCCCACAGCTCTATCGTAAAGCTAATGTGAAAGTGGCACTTCCCCTGCTGAGCAGAGAAATGCTCTACGAACATTCAGAGTCAGATCTGCTCACTTTAGGGGTAAAAATAAGTGTAAGTACTTTGACTCCTGATGGCACTGTAAAGCCAATGCTATTATGGAACACCTGAGCTGGATGCTACATAGGTAGGCTATTTGCCAGGTTTGAAGCTGGACTGTCCTGTTTTTGTATGGTCTGTGCCCTGCCTCGTTCTATCATACAACTGGATATGGTTTTATCCAGTATCATGCACAGAGGATGGCATTTTGCCACATTTCCTGCAAAGGTATGACCTTGAATGCATGCTGTGTGAGAGATCCCACCAGAGGAGGTGAGGTGCCACATTCTGTAAAACAGAATTCTTGATGCAGCATGACCTTGCCTGCATGGTGCAAAGTTATGCTGGCAGGGACAATTGAGGGGATTGTTCTATATACTGGGGGGCTGCGTCTACACTGGCATGATTTTCCAGAAATGCTTTTAACGGAAAAGTTTTCCGTTAAAAGCATTTTCGGAAAAGCACGTCTAGATTGGCAGGACGCTTTTCTGCAAAAGCACTTTTTGTGGACAGCATGACCTTGCCTGCATGGTGCAAAGTTATGCTGGCAGGGACAATTGAGGGGATTGTTCTATATACTGGGGGGCTGCGTCTACACTGGCATGATTTTCCAGAAATGCTTTTAACGGAAAAGTTTTCCGTTAAAAGCATTTTCGGAAAAGCACGTCTAGATTGGCAGGACGCTTTTCTGCAAAAGCACTTTTTGTGGAAAAGCGTCC